CAGGTACGGCCCTCCCCCTTCCGTTCCCTGCGGCGCTGCGTGTCGAGGCCGGGACGGAATACCCCGGGCCGCCGCAGCCAAGTGCGAGGGGGAACGCCAGACGCCTCACGCGAAGGGGGGAGGCCTGGCAACGCTGCGCTCTGCCGGGCGCTCACCGACAAACCGGGGGGAGCCGAGGCGGCCAGGGAGGAACAGCCAAGTGCCGGCAACCAGCCGGAACTGCTGGGGCCGGCCCGTATTGAAGAATATGGCCGAATTTACCCGGGCTGGCCGTATATCGGCGTATAACATGCACACATCATTTGCCCCCTATTTTCAGGGGGGAAAAGTGCGTGTTATACGCCGATAAATACGGTATATTGTTTTTACTAATGTGTGTACCATTGTGCATTGATGTGATGGCTTTGTATCTAATAGCTATATAAAAATAAACAGTTGTCATTGTATCCTGTCCTAAAGGGATTTTTGGGGACAGTGGCTATCAATAATTTAACACACACACACACATTTCAAATAGGAATATACCTAATTAGAAATGTGAAAGTAATTTTAAAAAAATGATGTTCTTTTATTTAACTTTTTATTTTTACAATCTGTTCAGTGGCCAGAACGTATCTACAACTGTATTCATGGGGTAACTGCATTAGATTTCTCTACAGCCAATCCAAACCTCCTAGCAGTTGGACTGTTCAATGGGACAATAGAAGTTTATAATGTCCAGTCCCGAAATCAAACTTCAGTTCTAGACAACAGGTATATCATAAGCCTTCTAAGCTCTTTCTCAAACTTCTTATTGTTATAATGAATTGTTTTTTGGGGGAAATTACAGGTTTATAAGCAGTGCCAAGGCCTTATTTTGTAATATTTATTTTAATACTTAATCCCTTTTCTGTATGGTTGTGGCTCCTTTGAAAATTTGGAGGAATGACAGATATTATTTTATCCTTCCTGTTTCTCTGAATGGTAAGCAGTTTTAAGAATCCAGTGTTACTGTGCCAGTTTTCTTTGAAAAAAATAACTTTCCAGAGAGATACTTTCACCTGATGCTGTTTACTAAGAGAGATATTCTCCTTCCACTTCTAAACAAATAGTTAAAATGACTTATTTTCTTTCAAATGGCCCTATGTATATTTTACTTAATTAAAATGTGCTGCTGGTGGGTAGGAAACATGCTTCTCTTCAAGTGTCTTAAGGCTAAATCTTTTAGGAAATTTCTAAACTGTTTTAAGTTTCTCATCCTTCTGTTTAAATAAGCTTTCTTCAATGTCAGGAAATTTTTGAAGTTATAGATCTAATGTATTTGGAAGGAAACATTTTGGGATCTAGTCTAAACCCCAAAAACTTTCGCCATCAGAGGTTATCTTCTTTTAATTTCTTTGCAGTAAGAGATATATTGATGGTGTGTATAGAACTCCAACTTTAGGCTTATGTGTCAGGTAACTGTCACAAATTGATACGCATTTTTATAAGCTGCATATATGTCTGCTTATGTAAGCTTATCCCCCTGTAGTTTTTTTTTCTTTTGTACTATTGTGCTTTATAAACCCAAGAGTTGTGTTTTTATGAAAATATGTTTCAGCGAATCCCACGATAAACATTTAGGGCCTGTTTGGCAGCTGAGATGGGTGGAGCAAGACAGGGGAACAAGTGGAGAAGACAAAGGGGAGATCCTCGTCTCCATTTCAGCAGATGGCAGGATAACTAAATGGTTTGTTCGGAAAGGACTAA